AAATGCTAGGGGTACACTTGGTGTACCCCAAACATCCCTCACCCCCTCCATCACCACACAAAAAAGGCAAGAAAATTTCAAAAAAAAGTAAAAAATAAAAAGAAAATAAAATGAATGGTGTAGATGCAAGTGGTGTACATTTGGGGTACACATTTGGTGTACCCCTAGCATATCCCATTAATATTACCCATTTTTAAGTTCAAATAAGTGAATTGAGTCCAACTATGTCCATTTAATCATTTATTCCTTCTATTTCCAATACACATATTTTTCTGTATTCATCAATTTAATCCTCCTTTTTTAATTAATTCTTAACTCTGCTTCTTTTATTATTTAATTTAAAAATTGTAGTGTTATATAAATTTTTTTCTAATAAAATTCGCATTTAGTAAATCTTAATTTTTTACGAAATAAATCTGTACATATTTAACCATAGATGTCTTAAAAATGGATTTTTGCATTTTTTTAAATATAGTTTACTTTTATTTTTATTATTTCATAATTGGATTAAAATTCAAGGTCAATTAGGCTATTGTCGGTTTCGGTTCAGTTATTGTCAATTATTTTGAATCATAAATTTTTTCGGTTAGTTCGGTTTTGGACCGAATCCGACTCGATGCTCACCCCTATTGATTCGTGGACAAATAGGAGGGCTTCTTCTTCATATTTACCTAAAATTTTACCATAACCAATTTTTAATATAAATGAATTTAAAGGGAATTTTAGGAATTTGTATACCATTATTTTCAAATTCATTTACAAAAAAAATAATTAAAGGGTTTTAGATTTTTTTGTGACTGCTCTTTAATTTTTTTTTGTTATAATGTAAGTGTGTTGAGTTAGTTTTCTTTTTTATAAATATATGTTGCATATTTTTGAAAAATAATTTTATTCAAATTTTTTATTTACTTATTTTTTGAATAAACTTAACATTTTTTAGATCTAAAAATAAATTTGCACGTTTCTATTCTCTTTTACAAAATAGATATGTTAGCATTTGTAATTATGTATCTTCCAAATAAATTTGAACTACAAACTTTTCAAAAATAAAGTGAGCACAAACAAAATTCGATTTATTTTAAAAAAATGACATTTACTAAAAATGTTTCAATTAATTAATGAAGAGTAGTTATATTTTGTCAATTTTTTAAATAAAAATAACTTTATAGGATTAACGTTTCTCATATCACTTGACCTCATTCTTTCATTTCATTTTACATTGTGAATGCCATGTCACAAGTTGTACGAATCGTAAAAGGAGTATGTTGATTTTAATAAGAAAATATTAAAAAGAATATTAAAAACTTAAACTATAATTTATTGGGATTTCTCAATAAAGAGAAACCCTCCAAAAATAAGCGTATGTCACTATTTGCGTCGAACACACGGTATTCTTTAGTAAAAGGCGAAAGAATATTTCGCTCTGTGTTCAACGCGTGACTGCGTGAGTGACTAAGGTCCCGAATTGGACATTATATAGCCACCCACATCATCGAGCGGTTCTTGCCTTTCCGGTGTGGGACAAAAAGGAATTAACCTCGGCGATTTGGGCGTCTCACTTCTGCCTTTCAACTCCCATATCACTCCCCTCTTTCCTTCTTCCCCTCTCGCTTAACGTTTTGGCTTCTTGTCTATGAAATATCAATACTTCCTTTCACTTCTATTAAGTCGCGTTCCACATGATCGACGGAAAGTTTGTTCGGTTCAATTCATTTTTATTACTTACTTTCTCCGTCCCAAAAAGTCTTTCCTGATTCATTTTTTGCGTATGGCATAAAACACTTCTAACGACATCTAAAATGCCTAAAATTTACAAAATTTCTTCTTTATTGTGGGTAGAAGTTATTTTGAGAGTTTTTTTGGCATTCAAGACGGGATAGAAGTATTTTATGGAATGCGCAAAAAATGAAACATGAAAGACTTTTTGAGACGGAGGGAGTACATAATATTAGCTATCTTTTTTCGAATTTTACCGGATTAAAAACTATTTTAAATGTAATTGAATAGTTTTTTATAGTCACTTCACCCCTTTTCAATATTTGATGACTCTCGTGAGATGTTATTTGATCCTTTTTTTACACTTCACCCCTTTTCAATATTTTTTATTATTATTCGTACAATCAAACTTATGTCTTCTTTTTATATGGAATTTTTTTCGTTATAATCGAATAAAATAATACTCCCTCCGTCCCCAATTTGATTTCAATTTTTTTTCTTTCCTCTCGATAACTTTTGTTTGTTTACGCGATTTCATTAAGTATTTGATAAAATAAAATATCATTGTCACTTCTTGTTTTGTAGAACTTTTGACGTAGTGTTTTAATATGTATTTTTTATTTTTTTATCGATATACCGATTTGTAAATAAAATGATTTCAAGAAGTGATATTTCTCCTCGTAAATCACAATTTGTAATCAAATTGAGACGGAAGGAGTAGGTAGTTTAATACTCATTTGTCTTCTTTTGTAACTAGGAAGTAGAGGTTTTGAAGTTAGTTTTTAAGTTTTTTTTTTAATTTACACATCTTTAAAAAATATTTGGATGTTTTGGTAAAAGTTTAGTGTAATACCCTGATTTGAAAATAAATGAATTGGGGAAAGAAAAAGGCTCAAAAGGATTGATAATACTACTCATACCAACAAGGTGTATCTTCTTTTTGAGAGCTCATAACCTAGAAACTCCAAAGATAAGCGTTCTTGATCCGGAGCAATTCTAGGATGGATGACCCCTGGGAAGTTTTCTTGGGCGTGCACGAGTGAGGACAAAGTGTGCAGAAAAGACTTGTGTTGGTTTGTAGGGCCAGTCTACAATCCTTTGAGCGGACGCTTACGGCCAGGGTGGGGGCTAGGGTGTTACATTTAGAAAATTTGAATTTCAAATTAAAGTTTTTTTTTAATTAATTAAAGTACTCACTCCGTTTCAATTAACCCTTCACTTTTTAACTTTTAGCCAAAATAAGGGAAAGTTTATTTATGATTGACTTTCCAATTTTGCCCTTGATGTGATGAGTAAAAGTAAGATGTGATAGTTAGATTATTAGTGACGACGACGCTGAACAGTTTGGCATCTACGAGGGTGGGGCGGCAATGATGATGCTGCACAGTCTGGCAGCTACGAGGGTGGGGCGGCAATGACGACGTTGCACAGTCTGGCAACTACGAGGGGTGGGGCGGTGGTGACGGGGCTGCATAAGGAGAGAGGAGAATGAGAATGTGTGATGGCTTTGTGTGACCATAAAGAAGGATTAGATAAGTTACTCCTAATTAGGGGAGCTAATGTTTGAGATACTTTTTTAGGGATATGACTTTATTTTACTCCTATTTAAGAGGTTTTCTTATTAATTAGGGTATTTTTTTTTTGTCAATTTTTAAGTAAAAATGATTTTATAGTATTAATGTTCTTCACATCACTTGACCTCACACTTTCATTTCATTTTAAATTGTGGATGCCATATGTCATAAGTTTATTTTATTTACATAATTTTGTTATAATAAATTGATATACTAATTTAGTAATTTACTTGTAAAAAGAATTACTAAAATTTATATTTTTGTTTTAATAAAACATATATACCATAAATTTTAATTTATACCCTATCCATCCCAAATGATTTATATTCTCACTATTACGACCTCTCAAAATATTGAGTACTTGCTGATTTAGAGCGGTGGTGCAACACTACTATGAAAAGTATTAAATGTAAAATGAATTTATTTAAATAAAGATTAAAACATTACTTGTACAAAAATATACCTTTATGTTTTATCTCCTATATTTTAGTCCTATTTTAGTAGCTCTCTAAAAACTAAAAAAGCATTGTTAGAATTGATTTAAAAGAGAGATGATCATATACTCTAGGTCAAAAAATAAAAACGTTATTTTGAGATAAATTAAAAAATATTCTTCTTTTATAAAAAACATCAATATTGCTATTACTCAGCTATTAATTTAGAAAAAGTCGTAAGTTTTGTTTACTCGTACCTAGAATAAAAAAATACTACGTAAGAAATAAGAAAAATAAACAAGCTTCAACAATAATTTGTTGGGATTTCTCAATAAAGAGAAACCCTCCAAAAATAAACGTATGTCACTATTTGCGTCGAACACACGGTATTCTTTAGTAAAAGGCGAAAGAATAGTTCGCTCTGTGTTCAACGCGTGACTGCGTGAGTAAAGAATGCCTCGAATTGGACACTATATAGCCGCCTACATCGTCGAGCGCTTCTTGCGTTTCCGGTGTGGGAAAATTTAAGAATTAAAAAGTGTGTTTTCAACATCGTGAGTAGCAAATCTTTTTTTCTGAAAAGAAATTGGGAGAAAGAGTAAAGTATGTTTTATTTTAGAGTATTAGCCATTTACTTCCCCTGTCGGTTGAGTCTTGAGATTCTTTTTTTCGGATCCATCAATCTGAGAAAATTAAGAGCAAAAGAAGATGGGTTTTTGAGTCTTGATGGGGCCAAATCACCCCTTCCTTGTGGATTAATTTAAAGAAGCTTTGGTGTTTTGGGTTGTTGAGGATGATTGATTGCATTGTTTTTACAAAAATATTTCTTTGATCAGTTTCCAGATCTTGTAAGGGGATTCGAAGATTGAACATTGAAGATTGTATCAGTGGCTCTGTTAATGAAACTCGTTTCTTGATTCTTCATGATATTTGGGTGTGTTGAAAGAACTCTAAATTCTGAAAGAGTTGTGCTTGGACTTGCCAATGGATAGTGATCTGAAAACAGAGAAGAATAAGCTTGTGGAATTAGATAAAGATGAGATGAATGTGGATAAAGAAGAAGAAAAAGTAGAAGAGTCTAAGTGCTTGTTGCCTTGTAGGAGAGGCGGATTATCTAAAAAAAAACTAGAAATCCCAAGCTCAAAGTGCAGTGGAATGATAGAAATGGGGAAGATCTTCTTCATATCTTGGAATTCCAACCTAGGTACTTCAGTTCACTTTCTTGATCTTAAGGTTCACGCATTGCATTTTGTTCTTGAGGATATTGTTATGTGTAGATGTAATATGAACTTTACTCTAGATTGTTCCATCATCTCCGATGGAGTCAAAATTTCACCATTTTTGGCTTTGGGGTGTGATGGAATAAATCAAAATGGATCTCTAAACTATCTGCGCTTCTTTAATTAATGAAGTAGCAGTTAGTCAAACACTGCAACTTTCGATGTTGAGCCGGGGGTCTCTTTGGAAACAGCCTCTCTACTTTCGAGTAGGGGCAAGGTCTGCGTACACACACCCTCCCCAGACCCTACTCTTGTGGGATTTAACTGGGTTGTTGTTGTTGTTTTGTTGTTCTGTGTGGATAGGATTCATTGTGCTAGTGAACTACTATGGATCTTGTTTTAAGAACTCAGAGAAACTGTATGGTTTAGTTGCTTGCATTGAGATCTCCATGCCCGGAAAAGCTTCAAAACACAACATCTGTCAACAAAAATTTGTGTCGTTTTCAAATACAAACCGGCTTTTATCATCAGTCCCATTGTGGATTCTATGTGTGAATAGCCAAATGTAGATAGATCATTTGTTGCAACTTACCCCCCTCCCCAAAAAAGAACTCAAGAAGTGGATTGTCGGACATGGTTATGTCCTTGGCATAACTTCGCCACTTTGATTTGGATTGTTGTCTTTCATCATAGTGCGCTTAGAACTACTGAATGAATAGATTTTGTTTTTCCTCAACAGCTTGCCTTATGGTACTCTTTTATTGTTTGTATGCAGCGATGCAAGCGACTCGGACGAAGAGGGATCAGATTCTTGTATGTGTAGAGTAATGTAGTTCTTCTCATCCCATAGTAATTACTCCCACTTTAAGTCATTCTTTGACTCTCTAATCTCACCACGAATGACAGTAATGGTAGATTCTCATGAGTAATATACATCATTTACACTAACTTGGCTTACCCAGTCCACAACTTGCACTCTTTTTGTGGAAAAACAGATCATATATGACTTCATATTTCACTGGATCTTGGTCTTGGCATCTATATAAATTACAGTGTATATGTTTCTTCTCAATCAAATTTACTGCAAACAAAATGGGCTCGTGTGCTTCTTTAGATGAAAGCAATCATGGTAAAAGATGGATCTTTTGGGTCTTTGTAAATTGTAAAAGATGAATCTCTTTTTATACATATTACCCTTGCATTTGGTAGAATCAATACAAACAACATCAACCGCACTTGCAAATAATTTACAGAAAGGAATCAATAAATGGGGCAATAAAGAATGGAAATACAAAAACAAAAAAAAGACAAATGCTCCACAAGAAAGTAGCTAGGCGCTCACTGTCACTCTAGGTTTCTTCTCCGATGGTAACGACCAATTTGAGAGACTGGCATCGACTTGAATGGGTTCGCTCTTGTTTTGTATGTTCCTATAGTTAATTGAGGGTTTCTCCTGATTCTTCTTCATGAATCTAGTTTCTTCTGCTGCCTTCACTACTTTCCATTATGTGAGGTTTTCGATTGGTTTTAACACACAATTCACACGGTCATCTGTTATATATCCGGGGCCAGAAAATAGAACACGGCTTTTACGTTCTTCTACTTGGATCAATATACATCCATTGTTGCTTTCAACACCATTATCAAAGTCGTCGCCCTCGTCAATATATTCTTCTTCAATATCACTTTCATCGAGTTTTATGTCGTCGCCGTCAAAACTGTCTCTGCAGCTATAGTACCTATAATCTGATGGGTACTCCGACTCCGACTTCTCTTGCCCATCATCCGAAAAATATGAATCAATCTCCTCTTGCTGCAAAGGCCCATAGATCTTGACATCTAAATTAAAGGTCACTTTTTTCTTGATCTTGTCAGCCAGTGAACCTCTCCTTGCATTCCTGCTAAATCTGCATAAAGCTCACATTTTTTCACCACAGATTTAGAAGATGAAGGTAATAAACATAAAGATTCTAAGCACCTGTACCTGGTTTTCGGATCTGGTTCACCAGACTTCCTGAAGTCTAGAGGCAGGTATTTCCCCTCCACCTGAATTCCAAGTGCGAAGCAGTAAAAAACCATTCAAGAAACAAAGATTTATCTTTTAATGATTGATTGAATATAGGGATGAAGTGGTTGATTCTTACCGTGTCTAACCGTTGAGTTTTATTGGCGGGCTTGCGCTGTTTATGTTTCTTTTGGATGCCAAAACATGACAGGAAACACACCATTTTGTTCTTGGGGCCTTCTGCTGGATGATTCTTCCTTCTTCTCAGACCCTGCAATGGGTAAACAGGAACATTGCAGAGTCCTTCATCCTAGGAATTATATAGCCTGTTTGAAATCTGTTATCTTTTTTTTCTAGTCTTTGGTTTTTTGGGAATTTCGATGTTTTCCCTCCAACGGCAGTTTGAAAAGCCTAACGTTAACAAAGGTTAAAGAGTGAGTAGTGTTGGAGTGATGTTATGCACTTTTGGGTAATTGTCTCCTCTGGGTTGTAATAACTAATAAATAATAATAACTAATAAAGACTTGAGACTATACAGTCAACTTCATCTCCATTTTATTGTTCAAGTGTTTCTTCCCCAAAACAATATCAAGTTATTTTTTATTCAATTTCATACTCTTTTGTCCTTCCTTAAATAAATTACAATTTATGTAAAACAAAGTAAAATCTCAAGTTTTTTCAATTCATTTTATTTAAAAATTAGTATAGGAATAAAAAATAAGTTTTGCATATTTAAAAAATTAATCAAAAATTTTAAACAATCAATTTAATTTAGGGTGGAGAGATCATTATTTAGCCATAAAATGTAGAAAAACACTTTAATACTCTTTATAAAAATACAAATGTGGGAAGACTTTTTGTTAAAACATGAGTGTATTGTTCACAGAAAATTACTTACGGGTGACGCGAGTTTTGTTGAAATAACTCTCAGGTCCCTCTATTTTCAAGAAGACAACTGAGGTCCTTATATTTTGTTGTAATGACTGGGAGGGGACATTTCAACCAATAGTTCATCCATAAGTGTTAATAAATATATTTTTTTCCTATTTTTCCATTACCGTTTTTTCTTATTTTGCCATTACTCGGTTTTTTCTTTTTTAGAAAATATTTTATTTCATTTATTTTAATATAATACAAACAATTTTGAATTTTTATCCGATTTTATAGAAGAAATTCTAAAATAACACTTTAAAAAAGAGTAACAAAAAAGAAAAAATAAAGAAATAAAAAGGAGCGACCTAAAATTTATTACCTTAAAATATTTAGAAAAAAAGGAAAAAAATACATTTATTTACGTTTATGGATGAAATATTAGGTGGAATGTCCCATCCTAGTCATTACAACCAAATGTAAGGACCTCCGTTGTCTTCTTGAAAATAGAGGGACCTGAGAGTTATTTCGACAAAACCTGCGCCACCCGTGAGTAATTTTCTGGTATTGTTCATGTGATTATTTTCTTTATCGCAAATCAATATCTTTGAAACTTATTATTTCGTTGGATACGAAAGGTCTATTTTTTGGGTTGAAAAATGTAGCCTCTAACTTTTTTTCAATTTCTTACAATTTTTCTAACTCTTAGTTTTTTTAACTACTTTCATTTTCTTTGAACGCCTTAGAAAATGTTTGCATATGATAAATATATAATAACATCCTATATCTAAATTTATAACATATCAGTTTGAACACAGATAAAGATGAAATTTTTTTATCTAAAATTAGTTTACTTGCATATTCATTTGGATAGTTATTCAATTGATTGATTTTTTAGCACTTTAATATTTCCATATTAGCATATGTATATTTGTAACTTGTGTTGTAACGGGCCCAAGCCCACTAGCGTTAGACGTAGCTCGTACTTGTTGTATATATGTTCGTTGAGATTACGTAAACAACTAGAAAAAGGTTTTACACAATTCTACATGGTATCAGAGCCAATTCCCGGGCATAACCAAAAACCCTAGAAACGTAAGCCCTAGCTACACGGTGCCGCCGCCGTTTTTCTCGCCGCCTCACGTCGGCCGTACTACATCGCCGCCTCACGTCGGCTTTTACACACCGCCTCACGTCGGTGTTTGCTTCGGCTCACGTCGGAGCTCCCCTCGGCAAGGCAGTCTTGCCTCGTTCACTTTTTTTCAGCAGCCGATCTCCTTTTCTCGCTGCACAACATGTCCACCAAAGCCTCCAAGAAGGTGAGGTTGATCCACGAGCCCACATCTCTATACTATATTCATCCATCCGAAAGTGCCGGCAATTCCTTGATAAAGCATTTGCTCAAAGGGGATAATTATGATGTGTGGGAGAAGACGATTGTTAACGCCTTAGAAGGACGAAGCCGTGCCAGATTTTTAACCCCCACGGGTTTTCCCAAGCCAACCGATGAACAAGAGCTTGCGGCATGGAAAGCTAATAACTCTATCATTTGTTCTTGGATATGCAATAGCGTTGATGAACACATACAACCGTCTATTATTTCTCACAAAGTGGCTCACGAATTGTGGTTAGATTTGAAAACCCGATATGGAGGGTCCAACGGCCCTCGTGTTCATCAATTAAAGTCTGAACTTCAGTCTCTCCGGCAAAAGGGACAAACCGTGGTGGTATACTACAACTAATTTGTGACAATTTGGAACAAACTCTATGGATCTGTCGACCCTACGTGCAGCTGCCGTTGTGAGGCTGCCGCCCTCATCCGAGCTCGCGAAGAACAAGAGAAAACCCACCACTTTTTGCTCGGTCTCGACGACGAGCAATTTGGCCATATTCGCTCCCAACTCCTTGCTACCGAACCTGTCCCCGACATTCACCGGGCTTATGCTTTGATTGTCCATGAAGAGCGTCACAAAAATATTGTTCGCGGGAGGGATGATCGAACCGATGCACTCGCCTTCGCCATGCAACGCCCTATTGCCCCTACGGGTCGTGGAGACCCTCCTCTTTACTCTTGTACACATTGCGGCAAAGATGGTCACTCCAAGGACCGATGCTACCAGTTGCATGGCTATCCCCCGGGCAAAGGCCGTGGCAGAGGGGGAGCCTCTGGCCGCGGAGGGGGTTCCGGCCGTGGAGTCAGCCGCGGGTCATCCGGCGGCACGCCTGCTGGCAGGGGGCAGGCACTCCGACGGGGGGAGCACACGCCGCAGTGAGTGGCTCGGGCATGACTCCCAACTCTTTGGGTCTCACGTCCGATCAGGTTTCTCGGTTGTTATCCATGCTTGACACGTCCTCTACCGAGAAGGGTACAGGTTCTAACGGTGAGTCTTCCTCCCGTGAGTGGCTCATTGACGGTGGCGCTTCCCATCACATGACGGGTAATAGCTCTTTTTTGTCTCATATTGTTCCCATCACACCTTGCGCTATCACACTGCCTAATGGGGCGCACACTACGGCAACCCGATGTGGGCGTGTTTGCCTTTCCCTGGAAGTTCCCCTCCGGGACGTGTTACTTGTGCCGCACCTACAGTGCAATCTTATTTCCGTTGGCTGTCTTATTCGGGATAATTCCTGTTTAGTTATTTTTAATAAACATTGTTGTGTTATACAGGATTCTGCAACGAAGATGGAGATTGGACAAGGTAAAGCACACAACGAGGTATTTCTTTTTCGTCCGTCTAGTCCTACGTTTGCTAGTCAAGGAGACCCAATTCTTCTCCACAAGCGTTTGGGCCATCCTTTTCCTCAAGTTTTGTCGTCTCTTCTCCCTGTTTCCAGTAGCGCAAAACTCAAATTATTACAGACTTGTGAAATTTGTTTTCAGTCTAAACAAACTCGTAGTAGTTTTCCTCTCAGTTCCAATAAAGCTACTAGTATCTTTAATTTAATTCACTGCGATTTATGGGGACCTTATACCCCTTGTTTGGCTACTGGTGCACATTATTTTCTCACTATTGTTGATGATCATTCACGCGCTGTTTGGGCTTATTTGATTATTGACAAAACTGAAGTAACTAGTTGCCTTAAACAGTTTTTTAGTCTGATTCAAACTCAGTTCCATAAAACCATAAAAGTTGTCCGTTCTGACAATGGAACTGAGTTTGTCAATCGGCATCTCCGTGCTTATTACTTGTCTATGGGTGTTCTTGTTCAAACTTCCTGCGTTGGTACCCCTCAACAAAACGGTCGGGTGGAACGTAAACATCGCCATATTTTAAATGTTGCCCGTTCCTTGATGTTTCAGGCTAATCTACCTATTGAATTTTGGGGTGAGTGTGTTCTTACCGCTGTTTATCTAATCAACCGTACCCCTACTAAAATCTTGGGTGGGAAATCTCCCTTTGAAATTCTTCATAATAAAGCACCTGATCTCAGTCACTTGCGTATATTCGGGTGTCTGTGTTTTGTGCGTCTCCCCACTTCAAATAAATTATTCCCCCGTAGTACCAAATGCATGTTTGTCGGGTATCCCACGGGTACTAAGGGTTGGCGTGTCTACGATCTTGACACTCACCGTTTTTTTCACACCCGGGATATTTCCTTTGACGAATCCCAATTTCCGTTTGCTATTCCCACCCCAACTGCCAAAACACCTCAACCCACAGACCCAGCCGATTTTCCTGACCTCCCGCTGCCCAATCCGTCGGTCCTCCCAGCACAGCCCGCCGCCACTGTTCCGGCAGTTCCTTAACCGGTCCAGACCGCGGAGCACACCACCGGCGACAGTGGCACCTCCACTCCTACCGATACAGCTGCCCACCCACCTTTTCGTCCTCAACGGCAGCATCGTCCGCCTTCCCATCTTAGTGACTACATCGTTAATTCTGTGCAATCTAATGCTTCGTTGTGCGCCCCTCCTGCTCGGTCTTCGTCTTCAGGTACACGTTATCCTATTGCCAACTTTGTTTGTTATTATAACTTGAATGACAGGTATCGAGGTTTTCTGGGAGCCATCAGTCCTCATTTTGTTCCCAAGAATTATGTCGGGGCTGTTCCCCACTCTAATTGGCGTGAAGCTATGCACAAGGAAACTCAGGCTCTGGAGAATAATCATACTTGGGATCTCACAGAACTACCTCGCGACTGGACAACTTTGGGGTGTCAATGGGTTTTTAAAACCAAGTTCAACTCTGATGGCACTAAAGAACGTGACAAGGCTCGACTAGTCGTTCTCGGGAATCACCAAACGTTGGGGGTTGACTATACAGATACTTTTGCCCCCGTGGCCAAAATGGGGTCCGTTCGGGTGCTCTTGGCCGCGGCCGCGGCTAAAAGGTGGGAAGTCCACCAACTTGATGTCAACAACGCATTTCTTCACGGTGATTTGATTGAGGAAGTTTACATGCGTTTGCCGCCTGGTTATGCACAACGCCACCCCGGGAAAGTGTGCCGTCTGCGAAAGTCATTGTATGGTTTGCGCCAGTCTCCTCGCAATTGGTTTGCTAAATTGACATGCGCCCTGCGCCGCTATGGTTTCCGCCAGGCTCATGCTGATCACACCCTATTCATTCGTCGATGTGGCCCTGATATTTTGATTGTGCTGGTTTATGTTGATGATATTTTGGTTGCAGGTAATAATTCTCAGTTATGTGCCTCCTTTAAGGCCTATCTGCATCAGTGTTTCCACCTCAAGGATTTGGGGCCATTATCTTATTTTTTGGGCATTGAGTGTGCTCGATCTGCGGAGGGGATTGTGTTGTGCCAGCGAAAGTATGCCCTGGATATTCTTCACGAAGCTGGCATGGTGGGGTGTAAGCCAGCCGACACCCCCATCGTCCCTAACCACGGCTTGAGCCGATCCACTAGTGCCGAACTTCATGACCCGGCACGGTATCGACGTCTCATTGGCCGGCTGATTTATCTCACCATTCACCATTACTCGACCAGATCTCTCTTATTCTGTCCATGTTCTGTCTCAGTTTATGCATGCTCCCCAGGTTGATCATATGGATGCCGCACGCAGAGTCCTTCGTTACTTGAAGGGACATCCGGGACAGGGCATACTACTTCGCAGTGACAGCTCCCTACAGTTATTTGCATATTGTGATTCGGATTGGGCTTCTTGTCCTCTCACTCGGAGGTTTGTCAGTGGATATTTTATTCTCTTAGGTGGGTCGCCGGTTTCTTGGAAGACACAGAAACAGACCACAGTGTCTCGCTCTTCGGCTGAAGCCGAATATCGCTCGATGGCCAACGCGTGCGTCGAGGTGCGCTGGATTAGGGGACTCCTTGGGGCTCTTGGCGTGACTCCAACAACCACACCGCGACTATTCTGTGATAACAAGTCCGCTCTTTTCATTGCTGCTAATCCGGTGTTTTATGAGCGTATGAAACACATCGATATTGATTGCCATATTGTCCGTGAATGTGTTCACCGCCGTGAGATTACCACAGCTTACGTACCCACTCGCTTGCAGCTTTCCGATTTATTTACAAAGGCGTTGAATCGTCCTTTATTTTCTTTCCTAATACTCTCCAAGTTGGGCATTCGAGATCTTCATGCGCCAACTTGAGAGGGAGTATTAGCATATGTATATTTGTAACTTGTGTTGTAACGGGCCCAAGCCCACTAGCATTAGACGTAGCCCGTACTTGTTGTATATATGTTCGTTGAGATTACGTAAACAACCATAAAAAGGTTTTACACAATTCTACATTCCAACATTTTCTAACTTCTTCCAATTTTGTCTTACATCAACCTTAGAATTTCAACCGAAAAAACATAGCCAAAATTAGTATTGTCATTTAGTTGCCTTTGATTTATTGGGTCACCATTACATTCTTGATGGAAAAAAACATAATTAACGGTGACCCAAAACGTGTGATTGACAACTTGAAAATTTGGAATTATTTTACATAATACTCCGTAATAAAAAGTAAGGTTATTTTTAGGAAATCATCGATAAGTGAGATTATTTCAAATAACTCCTCCTTTAGACTTTAGTATTTTACGTACTCCATATTAAAGTATCAAGAATAATTTTTGTGATTTTATTGGTTGTTTGAAAAAAGAAATTATCGATGAGTTTGATCATTTCTTAAAAAATCACTTGTAGTTTTTACATGTTTTATCACTAATAACTCGGCCAAGTAGCACCAGTAACCCCGTGGTTTGGAAAATAGGCATCAATACCTTTCATAATTTCAAAACTTATTTCTAAAGTCCTCATGATTTTAAAAGGTTGCACCCATACCTCTCATCATTTTTCGATGAAGAAGGGGACATTGGTGTCTATTTTCCAAACCATATGGGACATTGGTGCTCATTTATTATTTTTTTGTTTATCCCTTTATGTGTTTCTTTTATTAATCAATATTTTTTAAGTTTATTTTTAAAATTGTTTTTATAATGTTCTTTAAATTTAAAATTATTTTTGTTTGAAAAAAATTAACAAATACTGCATCTGTATGTTTCAAATTAGCAATTTTTTGTTTTCTGAAATAAAAAAGTAAAAACCTTTTTTTGAGAACCTCAAAAATGATGAATAAAATAAGAAAATTCTTGTTGGACATCCCAATTCTGAGAACGTTTTAGGTGTTGTAAAAATTATTTTTTGTATAAGACTCTTTTAGATGTTTAGATTTTTTTATTTTGTATTTCCATTTTGTATTTTTTATTTTCTTTTTGAACTTACCAAAAACATGACTATAGAAAACAAATAGTTAAATTGTTTAATTTGAGATAGACGGAGTAAATGTTAATTTTTTATTTTTAATTTTATTTTAAACACAAAGAATTTTAAATTTTTTTAAAAAATTTAAAAGAAATTTTAAAAAAGCTTTTCTAGGAAAAGCAAACAGAGATATAAAAAAGTTAAAAAAAGGAAAAAACAAAGTAATAAATGAAAAATAAGAAATGAGCACGTGCACCCCTTATGGTTTAGAAAATAGGTACCAATGTCTCCCTTCTTCGCTAGAAAATGACCGGAAAATGATCAGATGAGGTGTGGGTGCAACGTTCAAGTTTCGAAAACAGATGAGATATTGGTGCTAGTTTTCCAAACCATAAGGGGCACTTAAGCTATTTGGCCCTAATAACTCGAATAAAGAGTTACTCCGTACTTTCCCCACTGTAATTCAAGATGTGACTTTGAACTTGAAAAAGTTATAGAGGGTGTTTGAAAAGCGCTTTTGAATTTCAACTTCATTGAAACATAATTTTAAGTGTTTTTCAATCAATTTTAGATTATGGAGTATGGTTTTAGAAGTGTAAATTGTGCTTTAGAAGTAATTTTCACCAAAGCTTGAAGTAACTACTTTCTACTTCTGATTTAGCATATCTATTTTTTCAAAACTCATCACACGTACAAACACCTTCATAATGTTACTAGACCACAAAGTCTTTGACTCTTAAATGACTTCTTTGTAAAGTCGAAAAAAGGGATTTTAATGCGATAAATGGAGTAGTTCCTCTGTCCCATATTTTTCTTTTCATTTAAAAAAATATGCAAATATTTATATATTTAAAAAACGAATTCACGAATTGGTAAAGAAATAAAAAGTACAAATTACAACAAAAACTCCATAAAATAAGAAGTGACAATAATATTTTATTTTTTTAATAATCAATAAAAACATGCATGTAACTATAGTTTCAAAAACCGGACCGAACCGGCCGCTTCGGCCCAAAAACCGGCAAACCGGTGGTCAAGTCGATCCGGTCTAGCCCTAAAGACCGTAATATGTGTCGAACCAGTGACCTTTTTTTATTTGCGAAATTCTTCAAAAATCTTATCAACTATGGAATTTGAACACACGACTCTTTGCATACCACGTCCAAGTATCAACCACTAATGCTAGAGCACTCTTTTGTTCCTTTTGAGCACAAACTTCAAGCATAAACCGGTATAATATAACACTCTTCATGATTAAAAGAATAAAATTTCTAAAATATTTTTTTTCTTTTTTAAAAATTTTAAAAGAATAATATTTTAAAATAAAATAAAAGAGTTTATTTTCATTTATAATATAAAAAATACACTTCTCATGAATTTCTTTTCATTTTTTTCTGAAAAATATAATATTTTAGTTTCGACTCAAACTTTTAAGTATTGATAAACACTCAAAGTGCACATCATGAAAATATCTTATCTAAATATGTTTTGATAAGATTGGGCAACTTTTTGGACAAATAAAATTACCTCTTACTTTATAAAAATTTTAATGCAATTTTTAAACATTTCATAGTATGTAATTTTTTTCAAGTTAATGCCACAACTTAAATAAATTATAAGTTAAATTACATTAAAAATTTTATAAAGTAAGAGGTAATTTTATAAAGTAAGAGGTAATTTTATTTGTCCAATAAAGAGCTGGATGTTAGAAGAAACTGGAATAAATTGAAAAGAACTGAGAGAAACTGGAAAAAAACTGGAAAGAACTGGGAGAAACTGGAAGGAACTGGAAGAACTGAAAGAAACTGGAAGGAACTGGAATAAAACTCGAAGGAACCAGAAGAAATAAGAAAAACTCGAAGAAACTGGAAGAAACAAGAAAAACTTCAAAAAATTGGAAAACCTAAAAAACTTTAAAAAATTTATTTTAAATTCTTGTTGTTATAAATTGTTATTATATTATTATTATTATTACTATTATTATTATTATTACTACTACTATTATTATTATTATTATTATTATTATTATTATTATTATTATCATCATCATCGTCGTCGTCGTCATCGTCATCATCATCACGTTATCTTAATGAATGTCTTTAAGATACAAAAAAACATTGTTATTTTTCAAATACAAAAAACTACTTCTGCAAAAAATAATTATAATATAAAGCTAGCATAAATATAAAAATATTAAATTTTAAAAAGTTTTTGTGGTTACGTTGCACCTCAATTTATTTATGCAGTATTTATTATAAAGAATATATTCGTAATTATACTTTATATATTGTAAAATTTTGTTTTAAATATCAGACATGTCACATAATGTAATCGAACTTATTTTTCTTTCATGATTGACATTTTATTTTCATTGAAATCCTATTTTATTCCAGTTTCAATACTATAATTATATTTCTTTTTCTTACTATTTGTTGTTAATGCCGATCAGCAGGCAATCACCACCGTCCAGTCTTATAAAATCTACACCGTATATTGCTTGCACCGTTCTTTTTTACAGAGTACTTCGTATTTTTTGTTATTCTCAAACCTCTCCCCTAGTCGGCGTCTTCGCCTCTCTTGACAGATTGAAGCCACCAAATTGAGAATAAGACTCCTCCTGTGAGATCGGAGGATATACGGAGGGAAAGGATGGATTCCGATCAAGGCAAGCTGTTCATCGGTGGCATCTCTTGGGAGACGGATGAGGAGAAGCTGAAGGACCACTTTCAGAGATTCGGCGAGGTTTTGCAGACTGTGGTGATGAGAGACAAGCTTTCCGGGAAGCCCAGAGGCTTTGGATTCGTTGTTTTTGCAGATCCGGATGTTCTTGATTCCGTTCTCCAGGAAACCCACACGATTGACGGCCGTACGGTGAGAGTGATTTCGCAAAAGGATGTCTTTTGCTGTTTCTGATTTTGATTTTCAATCTTTGGTCTTATTGGATTTGGATCTCCTGTTGTTTGGATGAATTTAGCCTTGATTGTTGATTAATCGGTTTTAATTTTGATGTTGTGGTTGGGTGCTTAGTTTCGACTTCTGCGTGTGCAGTTCTTGGCCCTTTAAGTTCTGATTCAGATTGAAATTGAATTCTATATTTCCAATTCATTTGTTTTCTTTGCTATTCTTGAAGGGGTTTAAATGGTTCAAGAAGGTGAAGTAATAGCTGGAAACTTTTAGCATTTTATTGCTGTTTTTTGGGTGGTTGGAGCAATCCAAGATATATTTATTGATAGTAACAATAATTACTCCTAGTATAAAATTAAGTTTTTTTTCTTTTCTGTGTATGAGGTTCTAGTGTAGGATGTGTTGGCAATGGCGGGTAACTTTCTCTTATCTGATGCTTATCGTTGCATGCTTTGGAACTCGTATATATTCAGTGAAAATATGTATTTATTACTTGTGGTATATATATCTGTTCAGTCAGTGGCATTGACTATGTGTTCCTATCATATAGGTTGATGCCAAACGGGCCATATCAAAAGAGGAACAACAGGTATCAAAAAATGGAAATCCCAATAGTGGTAGAAGTTCCGGAGGTGGTGGAAGTAACAAGACTAAGAAAATATTTGTTGGCGGATTGCCTCCTGCTCTGTCAGAGGATGGCTTCCGTGGTTACTTTGAAGCCTATGGTAATGTAACTGATGTTGTAATCATGTACGATCAGCAGACCAACCGGCCACGTGGATTCGGTTTTATTTCATTTGATTCAGAAGATGCAGTAGATCGGGTTTTACACAAGACCTTCCATGATTTGAGTGGGAAGCAAGTAGAAGTAAAACGCGCACTTCCTAAAGATTTGAACTCCAGTTCTGGTTCTGGCGGTGGTCGGTCCATGGGAAGTGGTGGTGGAAATTATCAGGGGTATGGAGGAGGACATGGAAACAATTCTAATTCTTATGATAGTCGGATGGATTCCAAGTACATGCAGCAACCATCCGCTGTATCAGGGTACCACCCCTATGCTTCTTCGACTGGATATTCTGCTGGATATGGGTATGGATCTTCTAACAGTGCGATGGGTTACAGTAGTTATGGAAGTTATGGTGGGGCGGCTCCTGGTTATGCTGGACCTGCAGCTTCTGCATATGGAAATCAAACTGTTCCTGGTGGCGGCGGCTATGGAGGTGGTCCTGCTGATGGACAAAGAAACTCATGGAACTCTCAGGGTCCTGCTTATGGTACTACGGGTTATGGAAGTTCCAACTGGGGGGCCAATGCAGGTGTGGGAGGTGGAGGGCCAGCAGGCCATTCTCCAGCTGAAGCGGCAGGTTATGGGAACCAGGGTTATGCTTATGGTGGATATGGTGGGAATGATGGAAGTTATGGAAACCCAGCTTCTTATGGGGCGGTAGGACGTTCTGCTGGCGGTCCACCAAGTAGCAATTCCCCTGCCGGTGGTACCGGAGAGCTGCAAACTGGTGGTTATGGTGCGTATGGTGATGCCAGTGGATACCCGTCTGGAAATTATGGATCTCATGGAAACCAAGCTGGTTATGGAGGTGGTTATGGTGGTGCGCCAGCTCGGCAAAGTCAACAACAATGATGATCTCTTCATTCTTCATGCAAGACACTATTTTCTTTCTGGAAGTTTGTCTTCTCATAAATGGTCTTCTGTTACGTGAGCTGAGAGAGGGTGACTGTTTCAATACATCAGACCTGCTTAATTGGACTGGTTGGATTGCTTGAATCCCAGTAGTTTGTTATTCTGCAATAAGTAGCATTATACAGTAGACCTAGCTTATTACTATATCATTATTATTACTATTTTCTGTGTTAAGTGTAGCGTTTATTTTGGNATGTATATGCACTTTCTAAAACCCTTTCCCTCAACAAATTTAAATGGAAGTTCATCGATGATAATCATTTCTGCTATACCCTTCCTAAGTGCATCTGCGCTATACTTCCCAAAAGTTATTGGCACATTTCCCTCCCCATCAACTGTTCCGCATATTAACTCAGTTTGATCATCATCCCCTTTCTCACGAGGCAAGCTCACACAATTTTTTAAATGGTTTTTCAAAGAGCTTGTACCATTACTTTTAGTATTTGCAGCAAATTCTCTACCACAATGATCACATCTAGCTTTATGAAGTATAACATCATCTTTAGTAATGGTAAATTTAGTAAAATGCGCCCAAACCTCAGATCTTATTGAAGGTGCGCTCCTTTCCTTCCTCTTAGGTCTAGAAGATGAGGACTTTACCCTACTTTCTTCAGTAATTGATGCATTTTGGGCTTCATTTTGTTCTTCACATTGTGAATCATGGGAAGCTATTGACTCCATTGACTTTGCTCTTGAATTTTGATCTAATCATGAATAATGAAAAAACAAAAAATTAGTTAAAAACAATCTTTAAAAACAAAGCAAAGAAAATATACTTCGTGTAGTTGCTGGGAAAACTTATGTGGCATTGATTTAATGTGCTAAAAAGTAAAGAACAATCTTTATTTGGCAATCAAAAGAAAAAAATCAGAACGAAAAGAATAAAAAAACGGAATTGGTGACACCAGAACAGAGATGCACAAACCTGGTGACTGCCGATTGGTGAGGCCGACGCCAGAATGAAGATGGTGATTGCGAGCTCTTGGCGTGAATGGTGAGGACCGAGAACCCTAGAAGACGAGAACGACGGTTGGACTTTTTGCCGAGTGCCAACTTGGGAGACGGGTTGGGACTTGGGAATTGGGTAGGGAGAAGAAGGGCTGGGAATTGGGTTTTTTAAGTGGGCTATAACAAACATATTTGGTCTGGGCTTACATATATAATATATTTTAATAAACATATTGTGGGCTCGGTTATTCGGTCGGTTTCGGTTAACATCGCCCAAAACCGAAACCGAAACCGATAACCGAATTAACCGAATATTTTTGAGATTAAAACCAAAAACCGAAATCGAATTTAAAATTTCGGTCGGTTCGGTTAAAGTGTATCGGTTAATCGGTCGGTTCGGTTAAATTGCCCACCCCTACATCCTCCACATGCTTGCCTTGCCAAAGTACAAAAATGTGGCCCCATTTTGTAGATTATCAATTGTATAGCAACACTTTCTTGATACCTCGGACAATTAAAATAAGTTGATCTGTAAGGAGAGCAGCTGGGGAGGGGATTACCTAACCGCCGGGATGAACGCTTCTCCTGCGGCGGAGGCGGAGGTTGCGACCCTGAGACATTGCCTAAACATTTCAGCTCTCATCAGTCTCTCTCTCTATTTTGGGTGTGTTGTGTAGGGCGTAGCCGCGTAGGGTTACCTTCTTGTTCCGTTCCAAAGTCGGCGTTTCTCTATTGGGGGTCCCATCTATGGGTGGTATGAGGGAGTATATGGGATGAGGGAGTACCTTCTTATTCCTATACCCTCCCTCATTATTCCCCCACCAACCAAATCGCTCCTAAGGGAAAGAAAGAAGTTACCCGAAAAAGTTACTCGTATATTCCCCCTCCAACCATTTGATGTAGTTTTTAAATATATTAATTTTTTATTTTTAAATTTTACTTCAGTATTAGACAAATTGAATTCAAAGTAAACTTCAATCAATTTTGTTAACC